TGGAATTAAAGTCGAATTTTCGAGGAAAATACTGTTACTATATATATAGATCAAAGATTATTTATTTTAATGCCAATTGTGCAACAATATAAATAAATCTGCAACATTACAAAAAATTGATACATTAATATTTAACTATGCAGCTTTGTACACATGTAAACTCGACAAGTCGTCATTTATTTATATTATAAAGTACTTTAAACAATCGATTGCTGCGTCCGACTACATATGTGTACAGTTGTCATCTTCTCAATATCCTTTATTAGTAACATTAGTGATGTCATGTGATCCACAGTTAATGTCAGACATTTCTTTTTATAATGAAATATTTTTATTCAAGGTTCCTTTCATCTTGAATACTATTTTAAAATTTAATTTACACGGAAAACAAGCTTTTAATAAAAAAATTGTAAATATCTAAATATCTACAAATATTGAATATGTTTCATTCTAATTTTAAAAAAAAATTTTGAATAGAACAAAAAAGTAGATTCCTCTCTAATTTTTTTATCTTTCCAGATTTCAATCGAATAAGTTTCTTCGTTTTAAACAAAATCTTTATATATTTCTCCTAACAATTGAATAATGGATTCAAAAAGAATTAAATTTAATTACTTGCAGAATAAAATAATTACATATAATCTCAAGTAGTAGTAATAATATTAATAATAATAATCATCATACATATTTTAAAAATGGTAATAATGTTATATGAATTTTAATATTGAGTGAAATATAAATGTCTTTGGCAATTTTCTTTCACAATCTTATCTTTGCATTATTGTATAATACATTTCTTCTTCTTCTTGTTATTGGTCGAACTACTACAAGAAGAAGACGGTGATGGTCGATTATCAACACAAAATAGTTTTCTCTTTTCATTTCCTAGACAAGGTAACTTGGCTGATGGTAAAGTGAGTAGAGTTGTAAGATACAACTACGCTATTAGAATTAAAGATAAATCCCATGGTCCTTGTTTTGGTGATAAAGATCTTTGGATGAAAAATAATTTCAACGGATACGAGAATTGTTCTTCCGATAAAGATGATTACCAAGAGAAAATCACTACTTTAAATAAATTCTGGGTGATAGAATATGAAGTTTTTCAAGTTATTAAAAAATGACAATTATCTAAATTACAGCATATGCATTATCCGCAAAATAAATAATTAATGATGGATAAAAAGTATGATATCAATTTTATCGTACTTTTTTTTTTCTTATATAAAGAGTTTTATGTGTAATTAATTTTTAATTTTTAATTTTTATGTATTTATTTGTTCCTGTTAAACTTGCGATTAAATTTTTTCTTGTATATTAAATATTATAATTAAGCAATAAGATAACTTTAAAAAAAAAACGCATTGAGATTATAAAATAGTTATTTTGCTAAATAATCAAAGAAATAAATTTACATAACAAAAATATAGATTGAAAAATACTTTAATTTTGAATAGGTCTGTCAAGTAATTGATGTGTGAACGTGATTTCAAAATATAAAAACCAAACTTGATAAATATATATTACTGTATTATTGGAAACCATTTTCTATTTTTTAGGCACATCAGCAAATTTTCTAAGCTCATCAGAAATATTCATAATGTCATAATATAAAATATCAAAATTCACACTTTTTTTTATTCTATTCCATCCCATTTTGTAATATCCAGCTACAATTTTTGATAATGATTGCAGCTAGGTTTTTTAATTGTGACAGGTACCCTTTTATTTGAACTTTTTAGTCAAATGCATGTAATATAATAGTTATTTTATGTTCATTTATATAAAGAATATTAAGAATCCATAATTATTGCCATAATCATTTTTCTTCCAAAGACAATTATGGTAAATAACTATAATTTAAATACTTCTTACTGTTTGAGGTCATAGGAGAGAACTTGAATGTTGTAAAGGTTCCATTTAATTCATCATATATTGATTAAATGATTTATTCAGCTGATTAACATAGTATCATTTTCTTCTAATTGATCCAAGTAATATGATATCCTTGTAAGCAAACAGCTGTTTATAAAATTGCGCATATATAAATCAGTATTAGTAATTGCATGTTTTACGCGTACCACCTGACATGATTTTTTAATGTAACCTTTATTAATTAATTACCTTTTTCATTTCAAGGCAATTTATGAATAATAAATAATAATACTGAAAAATTCATTATTTTTAACTACTACTATTCTTTCTACTTTTTATTATGAATTTCTTAGCTGTTGAGTCAATGTCAGATTGGTCTGCTAGTGAAAACGCGGAAATGGTTTTTGTTAATTTATTTGATAAAACAAATTCTCTTGAAACTGATGAAATTAGTACCAACAGCAATTTGAAAAGGTTTTATATTCCTACAGACCAAGAATTGAATGATGTAATTTCATACTCAAAGGTGGTAAATGCAGAGCTTTCAACACAAAATTGGTATAAATTATTTAACAATTTCGTCAGGAAACCAATTTCGATGGTGATGTTAAAGATATAGCAAATGAAGAACGATTAGAAATTGAATTACGTAAATTTTCGTTGGTGTTAGGGAAAAAGATGGAGATTTTATAAGCTGCGTTCATTATATGTTGGTTTTTGTGCGATTGTACGAGGATTTCAACAAGATATATCAAACTTTGCAGAAAATTTATTTGATAAAAACAAATATCCAAATTTATGGCAGACACTGTCGGGCAAGATCAAACAAATTCAAGATACCAATAATGTTGGAAGAACAAAATACGATGCACTATAAAACCATGAAATATTATAATTACATATTTTAGAACGTTCATTATTAAAATCCCTTCCCTCACAAAAAAAAGTGGCCTTTTGCCTTTCATATCTATGTAATTTTCGTGGAGGAGATTAAAGAAACTTAAAGTTTCTTGGATAGCATTAAATGATGATAAGAGTGTAACTGTGTCGCTTCCTAGTGAAAAAAATTACGCTGGTGGTCTTGATGATATGGATAATGATGGTCGGGTTTGTGAAATACCAGCTGACACTAACAGTAAATTTCGACTTGTACATGACATCATATATCATACATAATATATTATAGAAACAGAAGACCAGATCATTGTAAATATCTAATTTTTTTTTAAAGAATAGAAAATAAAACTAATATTGAAAAAGGCAAGTGGTTTTCAGGTATAAACCCAGGAAAAAATTCACTAGATAGTTTAATTGAAAAAATATGTGAAGATTGTGACATTAATATTGGTAAGCGACACATAGTAAATCATTCCATGAAAACAACTGATATAATTCAATTAACAAAATTAGGTGTTCCTTTTAATGAAATTATTATGGTATATGGCGGGTGCTGTTTACTTGCTGGTTTAAGTTCTTACCAAACTATCCCTAAAAAATAGATGCTTAACAATGTATCATATTTAATCGATTCAGAATCATCATCATCACCTGAAAATCCGAAGCTGGTATTAAAGCAGATGTTGAATCATGTAATGAAGATGTTGATGATTATGCATCATCAACAGGTAAAAAGAAATTTTTTTGATCTAACGTTTTATAGAAATTTATAGATCACCTTTAAAGAAATTGATACAAATATATATAGATTTTAATATTAAATTTATTAAATTCTTTGTATTAGTAGTATATATAAAAATTCACATTAAGTCAATTTTGGGAATATCTCAACGATTTTAGGATCATTTTGAAGCTATAATTCCATCATCTGTTATATTAAAAAATTACAACTTGTTATGTTTGCCATATTTTTGCTAGAAGTCACTCCATTAAAATTTAATAATTTGTATATACGTAATATAAGCCGAATCACAAAAGGACCGGCTTAAAAAAATTCAGTTTACGACTAATACATGAAAAGAACGCTTTTCTGTACATTTTTGTTCTGAAAATGACCTGAAAATACATTCCGTACGTTTTCTGTGGATGTTGAGCACAGAAAATGCACAGGAAAATGTACGAAATGTAATTTTTCTTGTCAATTGTCATGTGAAACTGTCTTTTGGGACTTTATGGTAAAATGTATGTCTCGATCAATTATAACTTGGTACACGCGTATTTGTTAGTCTATGTAAAATTTCAAATTTTTTATTTTAATTGAAAAAATAATATATAAAATAAAAGTAACGATTAATATTTAATTAATTGATAAACTTCTAATTTTTCATACGCACTACCATTTGCTATATTAATAGTATTATAAGCAGTTGGAGCACAGTTAACAGTGTCATTTTCATTAAATTGAATATCATGACCGTTACCAAAAGTAGGTAAATAACTGGGAGTACAATAGATACTAGATTGATTATTACTAAATTACATTACTATAATATTTTGTAGAGTTAGCGTCATTTCTATTACTAATATGAAAGATAAAACTTTCATTTGTACTTTTATGTTGATTTCCACTCCAACTAAGCGGATTATAACCACCAATGATTTGTTCGGTGCTTCGTATTTTAGCAATCACAAGGGTTTTGTTGATGTCATCACATTTTTGATGAAATACTGTTGCATTTAAACCATCTCTAACTGCTACTATATAAAAGCTTAAATTTATATTTGATATCAGTCAATGAAGTATATGTTGTTGGGCTTTTTCCATCAATCCAGCTTGCAAAAAGCAATGTAATCTTTTGATTGATAATGAATTGTTCAATTTTTGAAATTCTGGATGATGATAAATTTAAGGGTAAGGGGAATCACGTGATAATTTAATACAAAATCCGAGGATCAAAATTTGACTTTTCCAAAATTAATAATTGTCTTAAGGTGAAGCTACATGAGACGCATTCAAATAACTCCTGTGTTATTTTATATGTGTATTCTGCTGTATAGTAGTTATTGAAAGTGTTTTTGAATAAAATCTTCTTTTAAAATTCTTCAAAAAACAAAACTCATCCCTAATTAGAGAAACTCATCCCATAACTCATCCCATATTAAAAAGAACTCATCCCATATTAACATATACTCATCCCTTAGTAACAAATATTCATTTCACATTTAAAATACTTAAAATTTATTATTATCATAGTAATAGGAAAACTTATTGGACATTTTGTGATGATCAACATTGAAACCAATAAAAAATTTTTTTGATCCATGATTTACTATTGATTTATCACGTGATTCCCCCTACCCTTAATTAAAGTTAATTGGCAATCGGGATTTTTTGTTAAAGAATTATACACATATTATTATTGTTATTGTTATTATTTTATTAAGGAATATGGATATTATATTGTTATGCTATATTGTGGGGAATATAATCATATTATTATTATATTTATAGTATTTATAATCAAAGAAGTTATCTTTAAATTATGATCATACTTTCCAGGAAGTCTATAGGCTTCCATACAATATATAGCTTATATATTCATTTATTTTCTTATGATTTATATTTATATTTTAAGAATTGTATTTTTATTATTTAAAGAAGTAAAATTCAAACAAATAAAGATAATTTTTATATAATTTTACAACAATAAAATTATCAGTTCATTAACACTGTTAAATAAATATCTGAATGTTTTTAAATAATTGTGATAATTATTAGAATGTTTACAGATAGACTGGCCCGGACACCAAGATCTTGATTGAATAAAATACAAACAATATTAAAGAGTTCTGAGAAGTAAACAATGATGTCAGTGGCTGTAAACAAATAAAGCCATCTGAACAAAAAGGTATTGAAGGAATGGAATGATGTAATATTTGTCAAACATTAGTAATAAAAACAAAACAATGACTCATCAAAGATAAAGAATTGTAACAAAAGCAAAGGTCAGAAGGAATAAACAGAGTGACAAGATAAGATAGAAACATGAAAAATCAATTAGTGAGAAATTTCTTATAAAAAGACAGAGTATTCAACCAAGTGGAGAATTAACTTTATATAGATCACTGAAATGTTTAATTTGAAAATTTTATTAATTTATAGTTTTGTTAACTGACGAAAAATTTTTCTTGGATTACAACACATAGTAAATTGATATGAAATCAACACCTACATGTCCTTGTGGATATACATGATATAAAAAAATAATGGCATCGAAATTCATGAAATAGGCTTCTGGAACACCTTGTGGCTATAAACTTGATAAATTGTCTCAGAAAAAACAAGTTTTGTCCCTAAAAAATTATGCAGAAATCACAAAGGTACTGCAACTTCAAAAGATTCTGACAAATTTTAAAGTATATTTGAAAAAATTTACATCATACTGATAAAAAAGCACCAATTAATCATGTTGATTGTGCAAAGTAATTTCCAAATGTAATAATAAATTTTATTATAGTGTAATTCTAAGTTTCAATGACATAATAGATTGAAAATAACAAAATAAAACTAATCTTTTTTTATTTTTTTCATTAGTCATATTATTTTTATCTTTTGGATTTGTTCCAGCATAAAGTTGATTAAAAAAACCTTTTAATGTTGGTTCAGCTTCTTCTAACATTTATTAAATTCATCAGGTTCTAAAATGGGTTTTTCATTATTCACCTTCTGTCTTATATACAATAAACCTGCCATTAATTTGATTTTTTTATTAAGAGGCATCGTTTCTAAAATAAAGCAAATAAACTAGTTAAATATAATTATTGACAATAAAATAACAACAATTTATTTGGTAATTTATTAATTTATTAAAAAAAAATAAGATATATATTTTCATTTTATTCAATAATAAATAACATTATTATTTTAGTATATTGGTGTGTAAACAATTAGAAGAATAATTAATTACTTACCTAACTTTGCTTTCTCAAGTTCTGCGCACACTTCATGATATGCAGACTCTAATTGTTGAAATTCTTCCTCAGAATAAAAAATATCATCACGTAAAGCATATGTTTTATTTTGAAATTTCTGAATTTTTTCATTTGATTTTTTTTGAGCTGGTGATTGATAATTAGGTGAATCTAAGTATTCTGGATCATTGTCAGTCTTATACAAATAGTGATGACACATCATTGCTGTCTCTAATAATTTAAAATAATTAATTAATTGCCCAGGTGCCTTCTGGAATAATATTCTTTCTTTTTTTTGTGCTCTAGAAAGATAAATATCATGCTTTGGATGGGAACAAGTGCTAATTATTTTGTTTTTAGCATTAACAATTAATTTATTATAATGCCTTCTACATAATGCTTTTCCAATCAAATTTATATGTTTGTTAATATCTGGAATAGTAACTTTATCAGATACTATGGAAGCATTATTAATTTTATAATCACAGATAATGTCACCTTGGCCTTCTAAATCACAATATTGTACTTTTCTCCTCTTATCTTTACGTTCATCACTGGAGGGTGCTTCTTGAGATGAGTTTTGTATGACATCCATTTTCTGTAAGGCGAGTTGCTTAAAATGTAGCTATATATTAAATTATATATTAAATTAAGTATATAAATTTTCTATTGCAAAAAAGACTACTATAACTAACTTCAGAATTACTTCACCTTTTAAAGAATCACTTTGGCAGTCTATAAAATAGAAGGTGAAAAATCAGAATATATTGTTGTTATTGCCGCAAAATTGATTTTGGTGACGCAAAGTCAAAATCAGATGACGGTCAGTTTGTATATGAAACATGTGTAGTGTAATTAATGCCGATCATTTCTTAAAATTGAATACCCGCTATGTTTGATTTAATCGCGCTACAACAGATTCACATGATATTCGTTTAACATTTTTTACTATTATCATATGTCCTGTTTTTTTGGATCATTGATTTGTTTAATAGCATTATGCATTATAATTGGATTTATTATTCGGTTACTTTTTTTAATTAATTGACAATTGAGTTGATTATTATTACTGAAAATAAAGCATTGTGCATTTAATTAAATTGACGATTGAATTGATTATTTGTTTATTACTAAAAATACTTTGATCACATCTATAAATTCATTTTGTAAAGCTGGGTTGCAAAGCTGCGTAAATCTTGACTTTAACACTTACTTTGATCAAACTTGGCCATATAATTATTGAATAATTGATAAAACGTTCATTTTGCAAACTCAATTTGCAAGTTTCATAGATCTTGACTTTAACACTTACTTTGATCGAACCCGTCTATATGAATAATTGATAAACATTCTCTTTGCAAACTTCATAAACACTTACTTCGATCAAGCCTGCCTATATGATTATTTAATAATTGACAAAGCATTATTAAATATATTCTACAAAGAGCTTCATAGATCTCGACTTTAAAAATTCCACCTATATGATTATTGAATAATTGATAAACATTCACTTTGCAAGCTTCGTAAATCTTGATTAGCATTTATTTCAATCAAACCCACCTATATGATTATTTAATAATTAATAAAGTGTTCATTAAATATATTTTACAAACAGCTTCGTAGATCTCAACTTTGACATTTACTTCGATCAAATCCGCCTATATAATTATTGAATAATAAAACGTTCATTTTAGAAAACTTGATTTGCAAATAGATCTTGATTTTAGCACTTATTTCGATCGAACCTGCCTATATTTGAATAATTGATAAAACATTCATTAAATATATTTTGTAAACAACTTCACATATCTTGCCTTTAACACTTATTTTAATCACTCTTATACAGAATATTGAATAATTGATAAAACGTTCATTTGCAAAACTTGATTTGCAAACTTCTTGATCTTGTATTTAACACTTGCTTTGATTGCGCTTATACAAACTATTGAATAATGGTAAGCTATGAATATTATGCAAGACCAATTTTATAAACTGCTAAAAATTCATATGAAACTGAATTATGAAAATTGAAAAGATGGTCAATATTATCAAGATTCTTGCATTTTACATTGTCTTTTATATGCGTTTGGGTATCTGTTTGCTATTATCCTAGCGAACAAACAAGAAAGGTATATTTGAATTCACAATTTTCTTTTATACTTAGATTATGAAGACGCAGTTTTAGTTCTTCCAAATCTGCTCATGAAGCAAAGGATGAATTTTTAGTAAGAAGGGATGGCATTTCACCTGTAAATAATATGACCTTGTATCTATATAAAACCAAGCTTTATTTTGTCCTACGTTTTTTATAGAATTTAAAATATTATCTCAACTGAATTTTTTTTTTTTTCACAAGTAATTCCCTTACTCTTAACATTGCATTTTTTGTGATCGGTTCTAGATCAAATTCTGGATTACCGTGTTCAATAAATTTCATCGGATGGAATTACAACAGAAGCCTCAATTTTCAAAACACAACAAAGTTCATCATTAAGAGAGATGTAAGTGTTGAATAATTGATCGGCAGGGAAAACAGGTAGAAATGATTGAAAGGACGATGAAATTGTTTTCTGCAGAACGATATATTTTTATCCAAGTCTAAAATAAATAGTCAAGGCTTCATTAATCAGATTTAATTGTAAAAAATACCACAAGTCTCATAAGTTCTTTTTTAACACTACTCCCGAGACGCCCCTAATAATATTTGTATCGTTATAATGCTTTTGTAAGCAACTTCAAAAAACTTTTATAAAGACGAGTATTTCTTCTCTTCGTTTTATCAACGTCAATATCAGTGGAAGAGATCTTTTGCATGAGTTTATAATTTTCAACTTGTTTGTCAGACGTTTTTACTCCTGGAAGTTTCCAAAATCGATTGACAATGTACAACAAATAAAATTCAAACACATGATTCATAATTATTTGACTCGAGTGAAAATCTTTATCATTTTGACAAGGTTTTTTCCATGCCCCTCTTATCTTTTCTTTCATATCACCCTAATCCATTTCTTCCATTTATAAACCCTTTAACAGTTGGTAGGGATCTGCAAAATACATTTGAATTAGTAATTCGTTTCATACATACTACGCTTGTTGAGAGGTTGTTTGGCTGCCAGCAAGAACCGGGACTTAGTTTGCATTAACTATTATGGTTGAAAAACTTGTTTAAATTAAAGTTTGTGACAAATGATGATCGAAGGCGGAAAAAAAACTAGAGATAACAAAATGTCCAATACTTTTTTATTTATGGTGATCTCAAATGATTGGTGGAATAGTGGCAACCATACAACAATGTTATATATCCTTAAAATAATTCAACCATATATATACAAAGCTAACTTGAATAAATTATTAAAAAAAAAGATAATGAAAAATGCGTTAAAAAAACTAACGATATACAGTATCGATTAAATACTCTACTCGCGCCGATTAATATTTCATAAATATAAAATGTACTAAAAATTACAACAATCACAAACAGGTAAGATCAACTGTCGAAAAAAATTCTGGTTGCCGTTTCAGTGATTTTTTTGGAATATTAATAAAGAAATATTATTTCTAAATTGTCCCGTTTTGACGAATTGTAACCAACGCAGCGAAAATAATATTTCTTATTTTTGATTTTGTTTACATTCTTCCTGAAAAATGATACAATTCAGTAAAAAAAGCCTTTTTTTTGCATGTAATATATATATATTAATAAACAACATTATAAATCAGCAAATTGGAAATTAAACGGCAAATGTTCTATAAAAGGAAGGATCACAAAGAAAATTTCTTTTTTAAAAAAAAGCGTCTGTGAAGATTTTCCCAAATAGTAATAGGTACGTGTAATAAATGAAGCACGTGAAGTCTTTTGAGTACGCATTATTAATATAGCGTCATTATTATTATTTCGTAAAACGTTTAACATAAATGTCATTATATAATTTTTCAATTATGTGATCAATTAAACAAGATGGAAAACCTGGGAGATTTGGAAAATTTTTCTTGTAATATGTAAATTTTCTTTATTGTAATTAAATTAAGGGTGAAATCATTAAAAAAATTTCAAAGCCTGCTTTTAAAGTTGGAGGTTACACGGTTACTTTCTCGATTAGGAATTATATAATGAATTAAATTAAAAGAAAATCGCGTAGGTTGATTATTCTAGCGCGAGCAAAATTTAAATTATGATAAATAAGATAAGTATGAAGATTATTATTATATAAATTTATTTTGGAAATGTCAAGTATATGCAAGCACACGTATATCTATTATGCGAGCACATCACTAAAGTCTTTTTTTAAAATTAAAACATTTAATATTTTTAAATTAAAAGGAAAAAAAATTCTAATACATTAATAGAATAGCAAATATGGTAACGTAATGAAACTATTAATGGGAAAATTTTCATTGGCTATTGCTACTAAAAACCGAATAAATAATATGAAATAAATATATGCATTATTATTATTATTATTTTATTCTGGCGTTAATTTTTATCTAAATCAAAAAAAATAGATAAATATATAAAAAAAAAATTTTTTTTTGTAAAATTTTTTTTAAAAAATTCACCTTTTAGTAAAAAACATTATTGATACTAATTTTCATCTTTGTAAATAATAATTCAATATACTTAGCATTTTATTCTCATATTATTTATAATTTAAAAATGACGACAAAACATAATACAACCAAAGAAAGAATAATTTTAAATGTCGGAGGAATAAAGGTAAATAGCGACATTCTAATAATAAAAGATGGAAGTTGCGTTAATAACACTCCGCACACGCACGCACACATAAAGTCAATTCTTTAACAAATATTATTATTTATTTTATTTAATTTAGTATGAAACGTATCGATCAACATTAACAAAATATCCAGAAACAATGCTTGGAACGATGTTCAAAGAGAGCAATCAATCACTATTACATCCAGTAAAATCCAACGAATATCATATCGACAGAAACGGAAGATTATTTTTCTTCATATTACAATTTTATCGAACTGGCAGAATTCCTGATATTGAAAAAGGTAAAAAATCAAATATCAATCGAAAGGCAACGAAATATATTTATAACTCTGATATTTATTAATATTAATTTCCATTATTCTATTTGTGAAAATAGCGAAATTTTCATTACCTATAACAAAAAAAGAATTAGAAGCCGAACTAGATTATTTCATGATTCCAAGACCAAAACAATCTTCGTCGGAATCCGACAAGAATAATAATAAGCGACCAATTAAAAAGTTATCTTTACGCAGTCGCACCATAGCGGCAGAAATAGACGATTTTATCACAGCAATGAAACTCCTCATGAATCAAATAATTTTATATTTCCTAAGATGTTTTATAATTTCGGAAGGATACGGATTTAACATAACGATCGAAATATCATTCTACTCCACGGATAAAATTCCTCACTCGATAACTATTTTACCGACAACGATAGGAAAGAAATCTCCTATAAGCAAAGTAGAACAAATACTAAACAGTTATGGGTTCGGGACAAAAGCTCACGCTTTACTAGATGAATTCGGTGATATGATTGGTGAATATTTTGAAAATTCACATCCGGGATTATATTGGGATTTGCAGAGGTTAGAACATTGTTATGATTTTGATAATGATGAAAATAGTATTCATGATAATTTTGATAATTATAATAATTATAATAGTAGTAAGAGTAATTATAATTATAACAATAATACCGTAGATGTTAGTTCAATGTATAGGGTTAGAATTTCTATTCATGATCAATTTGATTATGAAGAAATAATTAATAACTGTTGTTTAAGATCTGTTGTAAAATAAAAATATGTAATATTATTAATATGCAATATGTTCAATTTTCTTGACCATTGTCGTTTATTGAAAAAGAGAAATAAATAAATATTTTAAAAACGCAAAATGGAACAATAAAATTTAGTATCTTTGTAACATAATACCTATTATATGTAATAATAATAATAACCATCATTACATGATTATTTTTTTTTAATTAACAACTTTTAATTTTTAATTCTAATTCTTTTATAATGTTTTGAATACTTGTTGACCAACTAGTCCCTATTCGCGATAGTACACTTTTAATAAATGGTTCATTTTTCTAAAATTATTTGAAAGGAAAGAAATTAAAAAATTAGATAAATATATTAACAAAAAATCTCAAATCGCAAATCATACAAGTTTACCTTGTCCAAACAAAATTCCAAAATGTTATCATTGCTATTCTCATTTTTTATCACTGTAGAAAATAATAATTTTTGAACCTTATCACCTTTCAATTCAGTTTTTAAATTGTTTAATTTCGATTGAAAACTTTGAAGTTTTTCTCGTATACGTTCCGATGTAAAATTTTGTAATGATTGAATCTATGAGAGAGAAAAGTGATGGATGAGAAGTGTCGAGAAATGAGTGGTGGTGTGGTGAGAGAAGAAAAGCCAAAAAATATGTGAAAGTATTGAAAATACTTACAATAGATCTATTAATAAATTTTTTATTTTTGTTGCTACTCTTTACTAACATGTCATTTATTATTTTGACTATAACCATTATATTGGTGATCATCTGTCGTTTATTAAATATTATTACGTTAAATAAGATAATCTTATATATTATTATCTAGATATGATATGTAAATAAAAATTACCTCTAATGTCGATGAATATTTATTAATGTTCCTAGATAATGATTTTTCAATACTAACTTTTTCCTTATTTGTCAACAATTCATTGACTATAAAAAAATTAAAAATATAAATTATTATATTATTATTATCACTACCCAATAAAATAATTACGATTAGAAATGATTTTACCTTGAGATGTGAGTTCTTCTATTTTTAAAGTTACTTGTTGATTTAATTCTTTTCGTTGAAAATAAAAAAATGAATAATTATCCTAAAATAACAATGAATTAAACCAATAAATCAATAATAATAAATTAATCGTTATTACCTTTTTGGCCAGAAAGTAAATTTTTAAGACCTAAATACAAATTTGATAATTTAATAATAAGATTTGATAATTGAATTTCTTCGTTTGTTAACTAAATAAATAAATAAATAAATAAATAAATTTATTATTATCTTTAGTAAAATTATTAATATCTAGTATTTATAAATTATATATTTGTATATAAATAAATAATTTAAATATTAGCAACTCAATATTATGACACTTATTAATATAATCAATTAAAACCTACAGACTCTATTTTATGATCATTTTTTAATATATCTTCTAATTCTTTCACTAACGTTGATAAATCATCTCCATTACTAATACTATTATTTTTATTATTGACATTGACATTGTTGTTGTTGTTATTATTATTATTACTACTAATAATGCCGTTATTGTTATTATTAATGTTATTGTCATCGTTACCGATACCGCTATCATCATAAATGTATTTAATAATACGAGGAATAATTGTAAAAACTTTTAAATATATTATCTAAAAAAAAAAAAAGGGCATAATAAAGTTTTAATCCTTCATTATAATAATAAAAGTACAATAATACACATGATACATATGATATATGATAGCTACATCATTATTTGGCGATGATCTTATTAATTCTTCGATTGATTTTTGATCCGGAGGATTACAATTAATCATAACCGAAAAATCTCTGTTATCATAAAGTGATTTGCAATACGAATCTAAATAATGATGATGATAATAATAAAATAAATATATAAATTAATAAATAAACAAACAAACAAACAAATATATACAAACACTTGGATAAAACAATAATTACCGTCAAATTTTAAATCCAATATATTTAATTCACCAATTCGTTTATTCAAATCTTTAGGTCCAACAATGATATTTTCCAATCTTACTTTTTCTCTATCAACAATAGCCTTTTGTATAGAATTTTCCAGTCTTTTTTGAAATTCAATAAATTCTTGAATTTTGGAAAAAGTGGAAAATTTATATGCATGAATTACCATTTCAGGTGTCTATTGTCATAACAATTACAAGATATCAATTGTGTGTATATAAAAATTAATCTATTTATTTATTTTAACTCCAAGGAAAAAAAATACCTTTAATTCATTGTTTTTATATATAGAAAGTGTGTCAACATACAGTAGGTTTGCCTCTTCATAAAATCCAAAAGAAAGACATCTTGCCAAGATATAATGACTTTATTTGATGTATATGTAAAGGATAGGTGAATGAATGGGCGAACAGAGGTGGCACAAATTAATATTGAAGAGGGAAAAAAACCAATATCGTAATAGCAAACATTAAATTACCTCAATGTATCAAGCTGGACATGCTTAATGTCCATCAATCTATACAATTCTAACGGTCTTTGGAATACGCCTTTTTATTTATTTTCAATTGAAAAACAAACGTTAAATATTTTAACATAATATAATACTACAAATAAATAAATAACATTATTTCTTAAGTGAATTTTATTTAGTTATTCGTACCTATATTCTGATACAATCGAATCAATAGTAATTTAAATTGGAAATTGTTTTTGCTTTTTTCCAATGCTGATTCCAGCAAAAAAATTGCTTGAAGCAAATATATAATTTTCTCTGCTGACAAAATAAACATAAATAAATAATATAATTCGTTTATTATTATTGTCATTATTATTATAATCGCACCGTCACCAACCATTATCATCATCAATTATCATTAAATAAACACTTACGATACTTAAGATACAAATCAATAAGAGCATGAGATGCCAATATAGCAAAATCGTCACCGTGTTGCTTTTCTGTTTCTGGTAAATTAGTACCTATACATTTACAAAAATAGCATGCCGAATTATTGTTATTATAAACTGTTAAATAAATCATCACCAATAATCAATTTGATAAAAAATCAGATATTCTACCAAATTTAAGTGAATCTTGATACAACTTCCATAATTTATTTATATATGTAATCAATTCTGATTCGCTTAAATCTAAAAGTAACCCAAAATACCTTTCAAATTTACAAATATTCACATTTATTTGAATATTTTTAATACTCTCCTATTATAATTATTTGATGTCCCATGATAATTATTAAATTAAATTAAATCAAAAAAAGAAAATTTTTATAATCAAGGAAAAAAATTTTACTTTTTCGTCATGACTATCAATAAGCGTTGTTTTAAATTCACCAATAATCATTGTTGCAGATACTTTTGAAATATTTTTCAAATATGGTTGTAAATCTTCAAAACAACAAGCTTTTGACCCAAACTTGCGGAAATAATTAACCAACATATCTATCATAACTTTTGCAAGTTCACCTAATTTTTATTTTATTTATTTAGAGATAAAATATAAATAACAATTTTATACTGAAAGTGTTTAATAGTTCAAAAATTAATATTTAAAAAAGAAATAATACCGGAATTTTCTTTCTTGGAAATTAGATGTTCCAATTCCAACTCGGCTAAAAATGGGCCTCGTTTAGGTACAGACGATTCCGAATCCTTTTTTTGCAAGGAATAAATGAACTCGCGTGCATCACTCAAAGTTAGACTGTCAGTACTAATGATAAATAAAAATGATAATTGTGTAGTAAGACTTTAATGTGAAAGGAGTAATCTTTTAATAACAAAAAAAATTACCATTTATCGTTATTCTTTTGTTCTTCAATAAGTTTTAAATGAGAATCCAAAAATGTTTTATAAGCAATCCAATCATCAATACTAGAAATAAATAATTTTATTTCCAATAAAAAAATTTTTAATAAATTAATACACGCATATACTCATATATATGTGTGTGTGTGTGTATTTATGAATAAATATTTTTAAGTAAATAATTTCTATATATGTAAGTCACTACCAACTTCGTTTTACTTAATATTTCCTTACTCATCTCATTGGATTTCATCCAATTTTCAGTTTTAATAAATAATTCATTTTTTATTCTAATAATTTCAATATCATCTTTACATCTTTGACCAAGATCACCTTCTAAAACATCAAGAACCTCTTTAAACTTATTTTGTGCCAATAATATAATCAAATATAAATGCACCTCTACAAATTAATAATATATAAATAATTGGTAAATTTTGAATAGTAAATAATTATAATTATGTACCTTCAGTGTTTTGCACTTTTCCTTCATTTACTGCTTTCAACATCATTCTTTCAGCCAAAGGCATGAAAATGTTTATTTGATTAGGCTGTATATTTTCTGACTAGCATACATTGATAAAAAGAATCAAGTGTGAATAAAAATCACCAGTCAACTAATTATAATTAATTAAAATATTCACCTGTAATACCAAGCTCATAATTGCCCAAAATAAATATTTATTTGAATTGAATGTTTTATGTAATTTTAATGCTGCCTAAATTAATATATATACATGTAGTGTGTAATACATTAATTAAACTTTAAAATTAAATGTACTACATTCAATGTGAATGAATGAACATCACTTACATGTTGTTGTCCTTTATAATTGCTACTACGAACCATGGCCATAAACCAATGATTTCCCAATTCTTCATTATTAGGATTTTTTTGTGTAGCATTTTCATAAATTTTTACAATTTCTTCATCTATGAAAATAAAATTTTTTTTCAAATCAATAAATATATCGGCAAATCGATATTTTATTATTTTTTTTATTTTTTTTGATGATAATTTAAAACTACCAACTTTTTCCCATAGAAAGATAAACCAAGGTAAGTGCTTGCAATACTGCTTCATCAATTGGATTCTTTTCTTTAACTTGTTCACACAATTTTAAGGCTTCATCTTGTTTACCAGTTCTTTCTAACACTAAACCTTTCAAAGTCTATATGTCTTTAAATGTCAATGATATTATACTTTTCTCTTTTTTAAAAAAGAAATAAACGAAACTTATGAAATGGAGATTTTATGATACCTTTACTATTAAAGCTTCTGGTTGTTTTTTAAGTATTTTGTTACATTGTTGTAATGCAAACTTGTAATTAAAATTATCAATTGCCTCTGAAAATTTTAATTAATTTATTAATTATAAATAAATATAAACTTTAGCGAGAAATGTACGTATATAATTAATTAAAGAAATTCTTATTATTAATGATACGAAATATTATAATACCATAAATAGGACGTAACCTTCGTTCGTCAACATCCAAAATTGAAGACATTTATTTATTTTTTTTTTTTTTTTGAATTCAATAAAATCAAAAAAAAAAAAAGATTTTCAAAATTAGATAAAAATTTTGGCCAATGAAATAAATCTATTTAAAAAATAAAAAATAAAAAAAACTGTAAAAAAGAGATTTATTTATTTTTCACATTTAGAGCTAAAGGATTGCCTTTAAAACTTTTCTAAAAAATGATAACAATTAATCAGCAATATGTAACACCAGTCCAAAAAGACAAAACAGAGCAGAATATATTAAGTCAATAGATAGGTAGAAGATACTCTATATAGTTTAAATTCACGGAAAGGCCACTATAGCCTAAAGCAAGAGAAACAAAATTTAAATGCTTCAATACCAAAGCAGTCCATCCATCCATCATGTCATGATGGAAAATGAATCAAGTACTTGTCATTAATTTGTGTTTATATTGATAAGAATCTTTCGCTAGAAGTTATTGAAACTATTATAAAGAGAAATTCAAGAGGATAATCATAACGGCAATAATAAAGTAAGTTTTTACGATATGTCTAATATATTAAAGCTCTCCCTCATTTTGCCAATCAACACTAGTCAAAATCAATCAACCAATTATGGAATCAAGTATAAAATATAAATGGTAAAGTTCAAAGATCAATCTTTCCCATTACTTATATGCAGTACAATTTCAACCTTCTCTTTTAGAAGCATTCGTTATCTAGTTTTTTTTTTACATATATTTTGGACCAAAAACCGTATTCGTAACAACATTAAATAGTTAACTAGGGAAATACATTAAATAAGAAAATGGCAATGGTGATATGATTATTTTAGCTAGGTCACTGGGCGGCAGGTCACAATTCAGATTCATTGTTAGACAATTTTGTTTTTATTAATCAGGCACAAAAATATATAATCAATTGAAATAAACTATATTAATATTTTATTATGTATTTGAAATTCCTAATAAGTTATTTGTGGTCATTAATAATCAATCCTAAAGCAAATGACGCTAATCTTGCATCTATTCCATATCCTCTTTTATCATATTCTAAATTTTTTTTTAAAAAAAAAGATCAGAATTTAGAGATAAAAAAATTTTTTAATGAATTCTAAACCAACCTTGTAAAGTTGAATAAAGATCTTTTAAATCAACTAGCAATATATTAATAAATTCGTCCTCTTCAAGTTTTGGAATTGGATTTTTATTAATTTCATCATCTAAATCAACCTTTAAAAACCAGGAATTAATATAATTGAATTTTAATTTTAATTTTTAAATGATTACAAGTTACATATTACCTCAATGAAAACCAATTTCATATTAGTATTAGTTATTCCTGCATCATTAAACATACTAGTTGAAACATTAGTTATCGCTTTGCCCTTGTATCCTGTTTCTTCATATAATTCACGCAAGGCTGCTTGTTCTGGCGCTTCATCTTTCTCAACTAATCCTGAACAGAAGAAGCGAACGAGCGAGCGGTTAGCGGGTAAATAGCTAATTAGCTAATTCTAATTGATTAATTAATAAAATAAATAAATATAAAAGAAAATAAAATACCAGCAGGAAATTCTACGCATTTTTTCTCAGTGCTAGGACGAAATTGTATACAAAGTATTGTTTTTGTTGTGTTTGAATCCTTTGATTTTAATAGTGGAACTATGCCTACAGCTGTTATATATATATATATATAAGAATATATTAATGAATATAATTAAAATCCAAAAAGTTATTATTAATATAATTTTTACCATCTATTTCGTTTGTGGTTCTTGTTTTTCTTTCTACGCTTTCCCAGAACTATCAATTAAAACTATTCTCAATTATTATTTATTATTCCTGACCAAAAATATATGTAATAATATATACATGTATATATATATATATATATGTAGCTATCAATTTACCCTTTTTTTTCCATTCTGGTCTAAATATGTTATCTTATATAAGCCAACCCATTTAGAATTATCATTTGTCAAAGATTCTTTAGATAATATTTCCGGTTCATGAGTTAGTTTTTCATCTTCTATTAATTTTTCAACCTTTGTTGAAAGTTTATTATTATCTTTATGATTATTATCACTTGTTTTTTCAGTAGTTTGTAAAGAATACATTTTAAAAGATTATTAATTCGCAATTCGCGATAAACGGAAAGGATCGACATACATTTTACAGTAAAATGCGGGGATAATAAAACATAAAATTAATTAGTACTAGTAACAATAACATTAATTTTGAAAATTTTAAAATGATCAACTGTCCCACTTTAGTGAAATAAAACCACATTCACATTATGGGCCAAATGCAAGAGAATGGAGAGTAAAAGTGAGATACAACTAAATTGATTCATTACCTATTGAAGTCTGCATAGTAATTTAGTAAATTACAATTTATTTATCATCATGTTTACCATATTTGCTTTAGTGTTATTAACTATTATTAGGCCGTTCAATTTGTTTAGCATCCTTTTTTTTGAAAAGTAAGAGGGGGGAGGGAAGCATAGTGGAAGTTTGTTATTACACGAAATGTTATACAGAACCCATTGCTCCTGAAACTTCACCAGTATAGTTGTTACCTCTCTAAATTGGAGATCAAGTTCAGATCCAATTCAAATCCAATTTATCACTTACTTTTTATTGCCAGAATGTTTGCCGTGTATTGTAAAGTTACATTACACAATATTTGAAATTTAAACAAACAAAATTAAATAAACACCAATGAAAAGCCTTCAATCACTAGAGTGGTCGGCAGAGAAAATTATTTTTCACAAAAATGTTTTGTTGCACGCAAAGTCACGTGTTTTGTGAACACAGTCAAATCACGTGATTTTATAATTGAAATTTTGAAAATCTTGGGGAGGGATGTTAAAATTTGAACTATATTTAAAACAAAATAGTTTATTGAAAGATAACAAATATAACAGCTGATTTATGATGGGCAGAGAATCGTTATTTAAATTTTATTAAATTTAAAACATATTAATATTAATTGGGAGTATGAATATATTATTTAATATACAGTGTGTTTCAAAAAAAAGGGCGCGCACAATGTAAATTCATTTTGAAAATTTTGAGATGAATAAAAAATTTTTC